GGTCGTAGTTTTTTTTTTCCTGTGGCATCTTTGGCTTTGGTGTCACGGTGATGCTGGTCCCATAAAATGGGTTTGGAAGTGTTCCTTCATTTATTTTTGCAAGATTTTCAGAAGAATGATATAAATTCTTCCTTGAATTTTTGACAGAAATATCCAATGAAGCGATCTGGTCCTGGACTTTTCTTTATTAGGAGGTTTTGGATTACTATACTAATTCAACCCCTTATTTGTTATTGGACCGTTCAGTCTTTCTGTTTCTTCTTGATTCAGTGTTGTTAGGTTGTATGTCTCCAGGAGTGTATCCATTTCTTCCAGGTCATCTGATTTGTAGGCATAAAATCATTCCTAATACTCCTTTATTATCCTTTTCATTTATAAGACATCCATTGTAATGCCTCCTCTTTCATTTCTGATTTCATCCATTTGAGTCTTTTTTGTTCCTTAGTTTAGATAAGGGCTTGTCAATTGTGTTTGTCTTTTAAAAAAATCAACTAGCTTTGTCAAAATTTTCTATTGTTTTTCTACCCTCTATTTAATTTATTTCTGCTCTAAGCAAAGTCTTCAGAAAAACAGAAATGGAGAAAATATAACTCATTTTATGTAGTCATTATTACCCTGATATCAAATCCAGAAATAGTCAATATCAGAAAAGATAACTAAAGTTCAATGTAACTCATCAACATAAAGGCAAATTTTCTTAAAATGTTACCAACTCAAAGGCAACAATAAATTAAAAAAAGACAATGCAGGAATGCAAATCAGGTTCAACAACTGAAAATCGGTCAATAATATACTCACCATATTAACAGACTAAAGAATAAAAATCATATATGTCTCAATAAATGTAGAAAAAGGCATTTGACAAAATTTAACATCAATTTCTGGAAGAACAAACAAATAAAAAACACTAAACACGTGGGAATCAAAAGGAGCTTCCATAACCTGATAAAGGACTTCTACCAAAAATCCTATGACTAACATTGTACAAAATGGTGAAAGACGATGCATTTCCTCAAAGATTGGGAAGAAAGCAAGGATTAGGACTCTCACCATTTCTACTCGACAACGTAATGGGGATTCTACCTGGTGGAATAAGTCAAGAAAAAGAAAAAGCATGCATATTGAAATGAAATAAATAAAATTATCTCTATTCTCAGATGAACTAATTATCTACACAGAGAATTCCAGTCTATCAAACAGCTCATATAACTAACTGTCTTTCCCAGCCTACAGAGGGTAGTCACCACAGGAAGCATAGATAAAAGTTGGGTGAGTTTGATGGACATCATAAATATACTCCAATAGCTCTATGTTTATAAGACAATGAATTCCTTTCTTTTCATTACACCAAGTTCACAGCAAATAGATGACCACTGATCACACATGTCAGTCAATCAATAAAATGATTAAAACCAATCCCAAATGTTTGAGCTGGTACCTCAAATCCAAAATCTCAAGTACTTTCACCTATATTAATAAATTTAGTATGAATCAAATATAATTCTGTTCTTCTTTGTTTAGAACCATTAATACCTATTCCTTCAATTGTTCCCCATTTCTTTGGTTTATAAACTGTTGCCTTCCAGGGAAGCCCTCCCAACTTTTATTTTTAATCAGTGAACATAAGGGCTGACGGGAATAGAGCAGGAGTCAGTAAACTATGGTCCAGAGACCAAGTCTGGCTTGTGACCTGTTTTGGTAAAGTCTGCAAGTAAGAATGTTTTTTTAAGTCTTTTAAATAGTTGAAAAAAATCAAAAGAAAAACACTATTTTGTGGCAAATGAAAATTATATGAGACTCAAGTTTTAGTAGTGATACATTAAGCTTTAATGAAACATGGTCTTGCTCATTAATCTGTACCTGTCTACACTGACTCTTGCACAGATCACATGGCCTGCAAAGCTGAAAACATTTACTATCTGGCCCTTTACTTACAGTTTGCTAATCCTTAAGATAGAACTTGAAGTGAATGTATCATTATAAGGCATCCAACTCAAATAATGTCATTAGAGGATCTCTAAGCAAGAGAAGCTAGAAGGCTCACCTCACCAGGCAGATGAGGATCAGCTACTACAAAAAATCCTTAGACAGATTTGGGGTTTTAGAATTATCAGATTCGTCTTGCTTGGTTCATCCAATGTTACCATCCCAAATCTAAAGTCTCACTCCTTTCCAATTAATACCCTAATTATAAAATAACAGATCTGGTGCCACCTTGCATTTTTAATTCTGCAACGTGAACAATTAATTTGGGGTGTGATTCTCAGCTATATTTGCCTAGTAGTTACAAGAAAAAAAGAGATTATTTTAAAGCCACCACAGGATCCAAGAAGAATTTAATAAAAGCAAAAGAGTAACAGGTAACAAACAAATTATTGTTGAAGCAACAGAGGATGATGAGGCGACTCTGAGACTAGAAAAGCAGAATGTTGCTACCAACGCCAAGACTGGTTGGGTGTATGAATGAGGAACTGTCATTAGAATTCATAAACAAGTGCTGATAAGCAGGAGGAAAAAGCACAGAGGGAGGGGATGTTTCACATGACCAGGAAGCAGTGGTTCTGAGGCACTGCTCCAGGCAGGGCCAGAATGTAAAGACACTATGACACTTCCCTTTCTCTCTCCAATCATCCACATTTGCTGAACATACCCAAAAGCCAGAAGCCAAAGAAGCCCAGGGAATATATTGTTCTTATGATGTAATCAGAGCAGGTAATAAGCAGAAAATGGATCTGAGAGCACCTAGTGAGCGACTGATCCACAATATAAATATTAAGAAATATTAGAGGATGTAGAAATAAAAGAAAAAATTTAAATAAGAGAAAAAAAATAGATGATGAGTCAAAATGCTCTCATATATAATTAACCAAGTTCCAGAGAGGAAAGGGAAAGAAAAAGATTAGCAAATAAATAATATTGATATAATAAAATTTCTCAGGTCAGACGTAAATTAGCATCCAGATTGAAAGGGCATCAATATAACAAGCATGTTGGATGATAAAAGATACCTCACAATGATAAAAAGATCTTAAATGTTTCTGCAGAGAAAACAAGCAGACCACATACAAATAAGTGAGACTAAGAATGGTGTTAAATTTCTAAAGAGAAAGTAAAAGGAGAGGACTTTTAAAATTCCAAGGTGCAATTATTTCAAAACCGAAATTAACCAATCTTTTAAAATAGCTACATTTTCTTTCTTTCTTTTTTTTTTTTTTTGCTATATGCGGGCCTCTCACTGCTGTGGCCTGTCCCGCCGCGGAGCACAGGCTCCGGACGCGCAGGCCCAGCGGCCATGGCCCACGGGCCCAGCCACTCCGCGGCTCGTGGGATCTTCCCGGACCGGGCACGAACCCACGTCCCCTGCATCGGCAGGCGGACTCTCAACCACTGCGCCACCAGGGAAGCCCTAAAATAGCTACATTTTCAATGACGCAACTCCCAAACAAGTTACTACCCACCTACTTTTTCAGTAAATTATAGGAGTGTGTATTCTAACCAAAATGAGTAAGCAAGCCAGGAAAGAATACACATATTCCAAAGGATACAAGACAGAAGATTCTTAAACAGCTATGCAAAAAGTCCAACGTAGATTGGTTTTAAAAAAAAAATACATCTACAGAGTTTAAAAAAAAAAAGGAATTTCTGAATCATGTAGGAAAGTGGAGGCAATTTATAACTTAATTAAAGAATTTGGACAAAAACAGTATGATGTAACTACTAATTTGGGAAGAACCAAAAGTTATGCAATAAAGGCGACAATCTCAGTTCATTATTTGCCTCATCAGAGAATTAAACACAATTCTAATAATCTGTATAATTATAGAGGGGAAGAATAGAAGAGGCAGAATGTAGAAATGATGAGCTATTAGGATGTTAAATTCTGACTTCAACATAGGAAGTCAATAGATAATGCCTAAATTTGAATACTCAAGAAATTTAATGGGCATATTATTTAGAAATATAGAGTAAAAGAATGAACAAACTATTCCTACACATACAAACATGAATAACTATCACAGACGTAATTTTGAGCAAATATGTGGCAGACACACACAAGAACACACACTCTATTATATCATTTACAGAAAGCTCAAAGAAAGATCAAATTAACCAGTGATTAAGTGTCAGGATAGTGGTTTTCTTCGGTATGCGTAGAAAGTGAGAGGAAGCATGATTCTTCTGAAGTGTTGATAAGATTTTATTTCTTGATCTCTGGGATGTTTATACCTATGTATTGACTTGGCCAAAATTAATTGTGCTATACACTTATGACTTGTGCAATGTTCTCTATATATGATGTACTTCAATAAAACTTTTATTTGAAAGGAAATAGACATTAAGTTGTATGCCAGGAGGGAGAGGTTGACAAAAAAAGGGGAAAGAGGATTCAAGGAGTATAGATTATGCAAAGGACTGATTTAGTTGTTTTCAGTATGTCTTGTAAAACGATTTTTATTCATAATATGTGCGTTACTTGATAAAAATTTTGAAAGAAAAAATAATAGTAGTAGAGTTATATGTTTCAACATGTATACATCTTTTAACAAGCTATTCAAAATAGTTCTGAAATGATACATAAAGAAAAATGCTGAACAATAATATATAGTTAATGGATACATATATTTGTAACAATAGTGTGAAGTATGCAAAAAATGGCAAGTATGAAATCATGACTTTTGTTATTTCTTGAATTTGAAGGAGACATAACAGGAAGCTTTAACTTTTCTCTAAGGTTTTATGTCCTTAGAAAATCTGATGCAAAGTTAGTAGCTATCATACCTAGCTGGTGAAGGGGTATATTAACGTTTGTACATATTATTTCCCTATGTTTGAAATTTATGATTAAAACAACTTTCTGAGATTAAAATAATGTTGTCCCAACAAAATAATGATAGAGATATAGAGAAAAAAATCAAATTTACTTAACTATGTAAAATAATACTTTTAAAATACAATATAAAGTTAAAAAAAAACAGTAAAGAAGGATACAAGTTACATACCATAGCAATACCTGCATCACAGCTTTTATTGCATATTGTGCCAGGAAATATTGCTCCCACATATTTAGGCTGTTTCCTGTAACTACATCATTATAGTATGGCTTTTTTATTAGCATGGTTACTCAGAACAATTTACTAGCTTACTTATTAAATTAAATCTCCCATAGAATTTAAAATAATTTGTCAAACATACAATTTTTTATCTGAATAATATCTAATATATTATACAAGGTGCTCAAATCACTGAAAACTGTAATTCACTTTAATGCCAGTTTTCTTTCCTAAACTAACTCTTTGACTTGATACAATTTTATTTATCTCAAATTCTCCTCAGTTTCCCTTATTCAGCATTCACTGTTTTGGTCACTAAAAGTTAAAACGAAAGGGATTTTTAATCTGTAGAAAAGAAATCTTGCCTGTTCTAAAGATAAGCATCTTTAAAAATTAAATGTAACCAAAACACTCAAATCTTTCTTTATCAAACAGTAGACATGAAATGTATTCACATAACAAGGTAATGTTAACTGAATAGTGTCAATTTTACATCATTAGTAAGCTGAGGCTTGTATGTATTCTATAGTATACTTGATATCATAAAAGTTCATGAAAGACAGACTTTTTTGCATAGATTATACTCCAAAATATTTTGTCATATAAGTGATTCAGGTTATTTTATTTTTATTATATTTCCAACCACACTATCACCTCAATGGCAACAGCTATGTTTTCTTTAATATTTTCCAAGGGGCCTACAGAAAGCTGAAGAACACAATAAAGGCATTAAATTATAAAATTAATGGAATTATTTATGTATATCTCTTTATTAATATAGAACATTGTGCTTACATAAGTAAGAATGTTACGTCATGGGGCCGTAGGATAAGATAGTCCTGTTTCCATGTCAAAAATCTTTGTAATAAATCATCAGCATCCCCATTAGTAGAAATTTGGTTTTTATCTGACCACAATTCCAAGGAGGATAGTATCACAGTCAATTTGAACTGACTAAACATCTAAAAATAAGATTTACAGTATATTTATTCAAATAACATAAATCATTACATCAAAACAGTACAAAAAAATAAAGAAAAAGTTTACTTGATTACTTTGGATATTAAACCAAATAAAGGGCTTTAAGTCATTAATTTGTCATGATATAATGGAAAGGTTTTCAATGACTTTTTATAAAATTGTAAACGTAAAGAAGTTAAAACTTACTGTGTTGACAAGGCCAATAAGCTGAGTAATTTTTTGCATTACAGCCATCGTTTCTGATCCCATATAATCATGCTGAAAAAGAAATTTTTATGATTCTTTAAAAAATGTGAGTGACAGCAATTTTTTTTTTTATGGCAAATATATCTTGGTGATACCAGGCAAGAAAACCATAGGATCTGTCAGACAATTTAAAGCATACTAACATAAAGATGATAATATTTACAATAAATGAAAACAAACAACAAAAAGAAAAAAATCATACTTGGGCATTCAACATAGATTCTCACTTGTTATATATTTTAAAGACATTGTCAGCAGAAACAATTGAAATCCTCAAGAAGTACTAAAATAACTTCACAGACCCCTCTGTATTATAAAGGGATTTCTTGAGGTAGACATTTTCTATAACACAGAGGGAATCAACCACAGTATTTCCCATTGTATGCTTAGTAATTAAAGAAGAAGCAAATACATGAGCATTAAAAAAATCAAAATGCTCAAATAAATCTTTAAGAAAAAAGACAGAAATTGTAATGATATAAAGTGAAGATTATGTGGAATGAATGATTCAAAAAGGTTTGATAAAGAACAAGATGAAATAGGGTAAAGGAAAAAAGAAAGAATTTTTCCTCTGAAACTCATAAATGCATTTTTTAAAACTAAAGTATAGTCGATTTACAATCTTATATTAGTTTCAGGTGTACAGTATAGTGATTCAATATTTTCATAGATTATATCCCATTCAAAGTTATAAAACACTGCCCCTATTCACTGTGCTGCATTTCAGTCATCAAGTAAATGCTAATAAAAACCACAATATGATCTCAGTATTCATACACCAGAATGGCAGCAATTTAAAAAAGACTAACAATACCAATTACTTGTGAGAATATGGAAGAACAAATTGTTATAGTCACTTTTGAAAACTATCAATATCCTCTAAAAGTAATATACACTAACCCGATGATATAACAATTTCACTCTTGGGTAGATACTCAAAAGATATTATGTCTACCAAATGGACATTCTTCCAAGGAAGACACACAAGTGGCCCACAGGTACACAAAAAAGTATTCAACATTACTAATCCTCAGGGAAATGCAAATCGAATTCACAGTGAGATATCACCTCACACCTGTCAGAATGGCTATCATCAAAAAAAACAAGAGCTAACAAATGCTGGTGAGGATGTCGAGAAAGGGAACGCTTGTGCACTGTTGGTGGGAATGTAAATTGGTACAGCCGCTATGGAAAACAGTATAACGGTTCCTTAAAAAATTAAAAAAGGAACTACCATATGACCTGACAATCCCAATCCTCAGTATACATCCTAAGGAAATGAAATCAGTATCTCATAGAGATATCTGCATTCCCATGTTTACTGAAACATTATTCACAATTGAAACATTATTCACAATAGCCTAGATACGAAAACAACCTAAGTGCCCATCAACAGATGAATGAACAAAGAAAAAGTGGTATATATGTGCAATGGAATATTACTCAGTCATTAAAAAGAAGGACATTCTCCCATTTGCTACCGCATGAGAAACCTGGAAGGCATTATGCTAAGTGAAATAAGCCAGCCAGAGAAAGACAAAAACTGTATGGTATCACTTATATGTAGAATCTAAAAAAAAAAGTCCAATTTCATAGAAACAGAGAAGAGAATTTTGGTTTCCAGAGGCGGAAATGGAGAAATGTAGGTCAAAGGGTACAACCTTTCAGTTATAAGAATAAGTTCTGAGGGTCTAATGTGCAGCACAGTGCCTGGAGTTAAAAATATGGTATTGTATACTTGAAAGTTGAAAGCAGATCTTTAGTCTTCTCACCACATACACACACACACACACACACACACACACACACACACACACACGGAAAAAAGAGTTAACTATGTGAGGTGATGAATGTGTTAATTATCTTGATCTTGGTAATCAATCCACAATGTACATGTAAATCAAATCTTCACATTGTACAATTTAATTATATACAATCATATTTATCAATTATGCCTCAAAAAAGATGGAAAAATATTAACTGAATTGCTCAGATGGTAAATATCTGATACGTTCAAAGAAAACACTGTGACCAGTGAGGCTACAGCTGGTTAAAGAGAGGGCAAGGCAGTTAGGAGGTGTGGCCACAGAGACCCTGGCCTGATCTGGAGACGAGGATGCAGGCAGACAACACTGGGCATCCTAGGCTAGTCTGGGGTTCTAATTGTATCTAAGTCACACTTAGAATTAAATATTTATATTTGAAAATAATTAGAAAATTCCATTACGTCTTTGAAGTTAAGGAAATTTTTAATTATGTTTAAAGAAAGAAGAGAGATAGACATCCTATATAACACAGGGAACTATATTCAATATCCTGTAATAAACCAGAATGGAAAACAATAAGAAAAAAAGAATGTCTATATGTGTATAACTGAGTGGCTTTGCTGTACAGCAGAGATTGGCCCAACATTGTAAATCAACTATACTTCAATAAAAAATAAATAACTAAATAAATAAAATAGAGCTTCCCTGGTGGCGCAGTGGTTAAGAATCCGCCTGCCAATGCAAGGGACACGGGTTCGAGCCCGGGTCCGGGAAGATCCCACATGCCGTGGAGCAACTAAGCCCGTGCGCCACAACTACTGAACCTGAGCTCTAGAGCCTCCGAGCCACAGCTACAGCGTGCCTAGAGTCCGTGCTCCGCAACAAGAGAAGCCACTGCAATGAGAAGCTCACACACAGCAACAAAGACCCAACACAGCCATAAATAAATTAATTAATTAATTTTAAAAAATAAAAAGGGAAATCTCTTTTTTAAAAAAAATTAAATAAATAAGTAAAATAAATAAATAAATAAAAATGTCTGGAGTCTCAAAGGTAAATTACCCCAAATTGGCAATTCCGTGTTTTAATTTTTCTATCAACATTTAGCAAAAAGTGTAGCTACCTTTCCATGATCATTAGAAATATTAATTTAGAAACCTGTAAGACAGCTAACAATATTAAACATTTCCATAAATTGGTTTCATAAAGTTAATAATCAGGAAAGTTTTAACATTTCAGCCGATGTTCTCTAGGTGATAGTAATAAAACATTAAGCTTTAAGAAAGAAAGAAAGAAAGAAAAGAGAGAGTGAGGGAAGGAGGGGAGAGTTTGACTTACCAAAGCTTTATCCACTATAATGTGCATTTCTAGATACTGGGGTAATAGTTCTGAAAGAGTTTTTTCCTGAAAGGAGAATTTATCAAATGTTAACATGTTTTGAACTTGTTAAGCGCAGAGAGTGACACATAAAGGAAGCAAAAAGGATGTATATAAAACCCTCAAGAGGACTTAACAATATAAATTAATTGTAAATCAGAAAATTTACTTGAAAACAGATTCCAGGTTTAAGGGAATCCCAGGGAGCCTGATAGCGTAAGGTGGGAGTCTAGGTACTCACTATTAATACTGCGTAAGAGAAAGTGAACAGCTCTGTAGTTCCAGAGCATAGGCTGCGTGCCCCACTTGATATGAGGTAATAATCCTTGATTGTGCCAAGTCAATCAGCTATGAATCAACAATTTACTACATCGTCATTTAGTACTCTAATGGTAATTTCTACATGAGCTATATTTCTAACACATTGAGATACCATTTCACACACAGATATTCTAAAGAAACCAAAATTTCTTCCTTGACCCAAGTGCATTGGTAACTAAATCGAAGAGTAAGGAGGATACAAAGATTGGGTCTGTCATAAAGTATCTTAGCTTACTATAAATAAACAGGCAAACAAACAAACTGGACTTGACAGTAGAGCCTAGGTTTATATTTCCATAGGGAAGCAAATTATACCTGCATCTTATATATGTATATACTGAGATGCTGACTTTTTTCCTTTGTGTTCAACATTAACTTTAAAGGTATTCTGTATTTTGGTTACCCTTACTGTGCCTGTATAAAAATATAAGTCAATGTTGACAACCATGTCTTCTGCATTGCAGCTTGATTGAGTATAATTATAAATTATGTGTGCACCATAACCAATTTCGAGCATGTTTCTGCACAGTAGGTTTCATATTTTAATAACAGCATTGTTTTTATCCTATTTGCCTTTCCAAATTTATATTCTTATTTTCAAAATAATAAGTAAAAAATGTAACTTTGATACCTATGTTTTAAAACAAACTTATAATACTATTCACCATAATGTCAGGTGTCATTTTCAATAAAATGAACTTCAAAATTCATTTGTTTTTAATAGGTTATCTTTATTTCCTTTTGTAAAACTTTGTGTTCATTTAAAAAAGAAATAAGTATTGAATCATAGAATATTGCCAAAATAGCTCACTATATCTCATGTATCATTCACTCAGTTTCCCCCAGTGGTTACATGTTACAAAACTATAGTATGTTTTCAAAACCAGGATATTGACCTGGTACAGTGTGTATGTGTATATCTCTACATCATATTGTCATGTGTATGTTTATATAACCAGCACTGCAATCAAGATACAAAACTATTTTATCACCACAAAGATTTCCCTTGTTGTACCTGTTTAAAGTCAGATGAGATTATACAGTCAGAGGAAGAGAAAAAAAAAAGAATGGAGAAAAATGAACAGAACCTCTTCTGTTCCTGTAGGGCACTTTCAAGCACACCAACATGCATATAATGGGAGTAACAGAAAGTGAGGGGATAGATAAAAGGGCAGAAAGGATCTTCAAAGAACTAATGGCCAAAAAGTTCCCAAATTTGATGAAAAAAACATTAATTTAAACATCCAAGAAGCTTAATGAACTCCAAGTAGGATAAACTCAAAGGGATCCCCTCAAAGGTATATCATAAGAAAACTGTCATAAGGCAAAGACAGAGGCTCTTGAAAGAATCAACAAAGAAGGGACTCATCATGTACAAGGAATCCTCAATAAGATGAATAATATTTGATTCTTCATCAGAGACCATGGAGTCCAAAAGACAGGGAACTGAAATATTCCAAGTGATGAAAGAAAGAATTCTATATTCAGCCTACAAGTAAATTAAGAGAGTTTAATAATATACAAATGATTAAGTATTCTAGAAAGATATGTCCCAGTAGTACGTAAAGCTATATGTCAAAATATTAAAAGTAATTTTACCAGGGTAGTGGTAACTATTCTTCCTATATTCCTAAATTTTATTCAATAATATGCATTTTTGTTGGAATAAAAATGGAAAACAAGAAATATTACATTATACATCATACAACAATAAGCTTGACACACATTATTGCATATTTCCATGGATTTTAGATGGAATATGGATGTTTCATTTACTGCTGTAGAAAAAAGATACCAAATTTTATATTACTACTCAACAGCTAAGTAGTTCCTTTTCATGATTTTTTTTTTGCGGTACGCAGGCCTCTCACTGTTGTGGCCTCTCCTGTTGCGGAGCACAGGCTCCGGACGCGCAGGCTCAGCGGCCATGGCTCACGGGCCTAGCCGCTCCGCGGCATGTGGGATCCTCCCGGACCGGGGCACGAACCCGTGTCCCCTGCATCGGCAGGCGGACTCTCAACCACTGCGCCACCAGGGAAGCCCCCTTTTCATGATTAACACAATTCTACAGAAGTAATTTTATAGTGCGTCATAACATCCAAATTGTCTCAGTTACCTGTGAGTTTAAATGGACTTTATAGGGCTGGTCTTTCTGCCAAATATTGCTGTAATTTTCTGCTAACATTGGCATATCTGGATTGTCATTTTTCACTTGATAAATTATGTGCTCGAACCTTGCTGAAGATTCCAATGGCTCAATTCCATAGCTGATATTTTCAAACTGAAGAAATCCCCTGAATATTTAGAAAGCAGTGATATAAAAATCCTGCCTATGATCCCATCAGACCTATAATCCAAAGTGTTGTAAGAAATGAGAAACCATAATGAGGTACATGTATTAAACCCACTCTCTTTCCCTGCCTTTTTTCAGCTACCATTAGTAACTGAGTAACCACATCTGCGTCAGTTTTTCTCACGTATTAAAAAACTAAATATACTGAAAAGTATTTTGTATTTTCTGTATAGTAGTCACATTCATTCAAGATGTATTAATTAAGGCCAAGTATTTGCTGGGAACCAAGACATTTGTTGAGAATTCCAAGAATAAAAAGTTCCTATTCTTACAGGGGTTAGAATAAGAGAAAATGGATATATAGAGTGGAGATCTAAAAAGATTAATATGCAGGAAAACCACATTCAGAGAATGTCAGTTTTCTGAGTTGATATGAGTAAATTCTGGAAATCAGGCAACCAAAAGCAAAAGGAAGTTAGGAAGAGATTTTTGCTCTGCTCTGGACCTGTCTTCATCTGATAAACTCACCACCTTCTTCCTCCCACTATCAATGACAAAAATCACTTATCCCTGCCTTTTTACCTCTGAGGTACCTTCTCAATTAGTCATTTTACGTCTGATACCAAGTACACCTACACTGAGAGCATACAATATGTGCTTAGTTAAGCAACTAATTAATATCATTTTCCATAACTGTTCCAGATAACTGATAGATAATACAACAGTAACATCTAGGGAGATGTTCTAAAGGATTTGGGTGGGGGGCTGTTTGTTTTGTTTTACTGCATCTATCTCTTTCTGCTCAATATCTTGAAAATATCACCAGTCAGGATTCCCTTGAATGATTTCATTTCAATTGGCATGACTAAGGTCCATTTATTAATGTTAATATTATTAATAAAAGTAAGGCCATCATGAAGAAAACGTTCAGATTTGAATTCTCCTTAAATATCCCAGATTTGTGTTTTGCGGCCACTAAGTTTCATTTTAAAGTATATCCTAAGTTTTCATGTATAAATAGCCTCTAAAATGCTATTACCTGAGTCCAGAACAGATGCTGAGTGTCACGACTGAATTTGGAAAATCTGCAACGTATCCTTGGTAATGGCAATGCATCTGAAAAACAGTACAGAGTGGCAAATAAATAAATTATTTATGCATAAAAGTGTATTGGCAAACATTATAAATATTCAAAACATTAAAACAGTTGAAAATAATAAGATTGTGTATCATACAGATTTACTAAAATTGATTTTCAAGGAAAATAAGTATTTGACAACTCTCTTTACTTTGTACCGCCTAGGTGCCCATGACTGTTCTCTAGGTCTGGATTCCATCTCTATCATACATGGAATGTGGAATAAAATTGTATGAAACTGCCAACATGGAACAAACATATCCCAGTGGTAATAATATGTCCACTTCAATAAGGAAACGTGTAATAATAAATGTCTAAGACACCTGGGTCTTACCTTAAAATATGAAGACTCAGAATGCAAAGATCCAGTTTCATTATATGTATGAACCAAAAAGTTCTGGGATACGAATGAGCTAGGAAAAACAAAAATAAAAAACTGATTGAATCATGAATTTATTATGAACATAAACATTAAAATAATAAAAATAACAGTGAAATATATGATTCATATAATAATATTCCTTAACTAGAGTAATTTTAGCATGCCATAACAGTGTAAATTCATAGAACTATTGACTCAGAGAGTTTAGGATTTCTTAACACTGGAATAGACTTTGAATCCTCCATATCAGATATTCGTGTGTGTGCCTGCCTGTGTCTCCATTCAACAAGATTTACTGAGTGTCAATGATCTGACAGATCCTCTTCGAGGCACTGGGATACAGCAGTAAACAAAAGAGAAAACCATGGGTCTTCACGGCAGTGAGAGACACATACGTTAGTACATTAGGTGATGATAAATAAGGCCCAGGGTGGCAGGAGGTTGGTTGCAAATGTAGACAGGATGGCATGGAAAGGCTCACTGAACTGATAAGTAAAGACCTGAAAACAAGCCACTTGGATTTGCACAGAAATGTTATTCCGGACAAAGCAAGGAGAAAATGCAAAGACCCTGAGGCAGAGATATGTTTTGTGTTTATAAAGAACGTCTGGGGGCAGTGCCTGTGGTGAAGCGTGGAGTGAAGACAAGAGCCCACGTAAGAGATGGTGTCACCGAGATGAGAAGCCACTGGAAGAGTCTGAGCAGATTGAGGATGGGTCAGACCAGCATTTTAATAGAATCAGACTGAATGCTGTGTTGAGAACCATCTGTAGGACAAATAAGCAGAAACAGAGTGATCAGCTAGGTTATTACAGTCATCCAGGCAAGACATGACGGTGGCTTGAGCTAGGATTGCAGCAGCGGTGGAGGTCCCATTCTGGATGCATTTTGAAGGCAGATCACATGGGATTTAATAATCCATTGGATGTGGGGGGGAAACAAAAGAAAAAAAAGATGTCAGGAATGACCCTAACATTTTTGTTCTGAGAAACTGGAAGAGTAGAGGTGCAATTTACTGAGATAATTGTGGGAAAGACAAATTTTGGAAAAGGATCAGGAGTACATTTTAGACACATTAAATATGAGAATTCTCATAACCTCTTGGTTATCAAATAAGTAGTCAAATAAATGAATATGGAGAGGAAAAAAGTAGAGATACAAGTTTGGGAGTAATCAATACATAAATGGTATTAAATCCATAGGAGTAGATGAAATAACTGGGTGATTGAGTATAGCTAGGGGAAAAAACAAACAAATAAGTTTTAAGAATAGCACCATGGAATGGAGAACAGTATGGAGGTTCCTTAAAAAACTACAAATAGAACTACCATATGACCCAGCAATCCCACTACTGGGCATATACCCTGAGAAAACCAAAATTCAAAAAGAGTCATGTACCAAAATGTTCATTGCAGCTCTATTTACAATAGCCCGGAGATGCAAACAACCTAAGTGCCCATCATCGGATGAATGGATAAAGAAGATGTGGCACATATATACAATGGAATATTACTCAGCCATAAAAAGAAACGAAATTGAGCTATTTGTAATGAGGTGGATAGACCTAGAGTCTGTCATACAGAGTGAAGTAAGTCAGAAAGAAAAAGACAAATACCGTATGCTAACACATATATATGGAATTTAAGAAAAAAAAAATGTCATGAAGAACCTAGGGGTAAGGCAGGAATAAAGATGCAGACCTACTAGAGAACGGACTTGAGGTTATGGGGAGGGGGAAGGGTGAGCTGTGACAGGGCGAGAGAGAGTCATGGACATATACACACTAACAAACGTAGTAAGGTAGATAGCTAGTGGGAAGCAGCCGCATGGCACAGGGATATTGGCTCGGTGCTTTGTGACAGCCTGGAGGGGTGGGATAGGGAGGGTGGGAGGGAGGGAGACGCAAGAGGGAAGACATATGGGAACATATGTATACGTATAACTGATTCACTTTGTTATAAAGCAGAAACTGACACACCATTGTAAAGCAATTATACCCCAATAAAGATGTTAAAAAAAAAAAAAAAAAAGAATAGCACCATGGAGAACTCTAAGACTGAAGAGATGAGGAGGAATCTAGAAAACAAACAAACAAAACAAAATCTGAGAAAGAGTCAGCACAGTGTAAGAGTTAAACACGGGAGTCTGCGGTACCCTGGAAGCCAAATGAAGAAACTATTATATGGAGGAGACACTGCTCAGCTATACAAAATGCGGCCGATTGGTCAAGAAAAATGAAGAGTAAAAAATAACTGGCATTTAGAAACATGAGGATCTTGGATGATCTTATCAAAAAACACTTTTAATGGAATGGTAGCGACATTAAAGACCAACATGAGTTTAACGATCATGAATTACAAGAGGATAGTCATGAGTTAAGTGAGAACAATTTTCTCCAGGTTTGTTCAACTACAAAGATGCAGGCAGACAAAATGCAGTTGTGATAAATATATATTTTCAAAGATGAAGGCAGAGAAGAGGCTGTTTGAGTCCATTTATATAAAATGTTGAGAAAACACAAATTAAGAGACAGGAAATAGATTGCTTGTTGCCTGGAGTAGTGGCTGATGACAGGGATTAAATATGAAATGGCACAATGGGTCTTAGGTGGGGAATTAAATGTTCTAAAACTGATTTATGGTTGATAATTGTAATACTATATTAAAATCACTGAATTATACATTGCAGAGTTTTATGATTTTATATATATATAATTTACCAAATAAAGTTGTTAAAAATAAATACATATATAATTAATACCTCCATACAAAGTATGCCGCTAGTTAAATTTTCCACCAACAACCACATGATATGTACACTTGTTTGATTCCACATCGGATATACTTGATACACAGATTGCAGTTCTTGGGTTCAATGGCTTTATACTCTTATTCATATGTAACTTATTTCTTAATTTGAAAATAACAAGCTGGAATGTACAAATGCAAAGCTCTCATAGACTTCATATTCAAGACGTAATGAATCCTAAACTGAAAAATTGACCAATTAAACAGCCTACATTTCACTGCATTCTTGAATTTAAATAGTGTACAAAAATATTTTTTAAAAAGTAAATTCTCAGCTTTAAGGGAAAATCATATCTTACTGTTTCCTGAGATGCAGAGTGTATGGTTTTTTATCAATTGTAATGATATAAGTCACCTAAAATAAAGCAAATAAAGACGATTTAGTAAATCATAAATATATAAAGTAAAAGAGTATTTTTCACTCAAGTCAAAAAAGACTCACCCAATCCATTTTATAAAAGAATATATTCTTCAGAATTTATTGTTCTAAATAGTAAAAATTAAAAATTTTTCTAATAAATTCAGGGTGAGGGTGATAAAGTTACTGTAAGGATGGCTTTTGAAAAAAATAAATGAAAACTATATTTTGAAAAAAATATAATTTTACCATTTATTAATACTAGATTTTAATTGTTTATATTTAGAAAAAACATATTCACCCTTAGCCAAAATGAATGAGGAATGGCTGTAGGCTTACATTCTACACCGAATATAATGAAACAATAGCAAGTTTATAAATACATATATACATACTAACAAACACTAGAGCCACTTTGCAATGCTTCACATATAAACTGGGAGGAAAACAGACCTGAAAGAATGAAGCTAGCGAGGAACGCTGCAGCTCCAGGACTACGAGCTCTGATACTACAGGGACTAAGTTATAATGGTCCTCATTACCTTGACATGATGGCATCCAGGAACAGGAAGTGTACACAGTAAAGCAGGTTGCTTTTATAAGATCATCAGGAGGGTGAGAAAGTGTCTAGCTAAATTGAATTTTATATAGTAGAACAACATAGGCTTGAAATCCACCCTTTACCATTTAACACAATGTGATCAACAGAGGTACGTCCATCCACTTGGCCATATCCTATTGGTTGGAACGAAGTCACAGGTCTTTCCCACACTCATAGTGAGACAGGCTGGGACCTGGGACCCTTTGCTGCAGTGCAAAGGATACACCTGGATATCCTGTATCCTGGATACACCTCTCCTGGTGCAACAAATACAAAGAAACTGTATGGGACTAAAAATAACTGCATGCCAGATGTAGAGAATGGACTTGAGGACATGGGGAGGGGGAAGGGTAAGTTGGGACCAAATGAGAGAGTGGCATGGACATATATACACTACCAAATGTAAAATAGATAGCTAGTGGGAAGCAGCTGCATAGCACAGGTAGATCAACTCAGTGCTCTGTGACCACCTAGAGGGATGGGATAGGGAGGGTAGGAGGGAGACGCAAGAGGGAGGGGATATGGAGATATATGTATATGTATAGCTGATTCACTTTGTTATACAGCAGAAACTAACACACCACTGTAAAGCAATTATACTCCAATGAAGATGTTAAAAAAAAAAAAACTGCGTGTATGCCTTAGTTGGGGCAAATTTCAGCTGCCACTTTTGAAGAGCCTGGAGCAAAAACAGGGTGTTGGGAGCAAAAGGGCGGTACTGAGCATGCACCCTGCACACACCACCACCTAAGGGGTGGGCAAAACACCTAAGCCCCCCCTCTGGCCTGACCCATGGACACACCCCTACCCTCGCCCCATATAAGGAACAAGCCTGCCCTACCTCCTGGAGTGAGCAAGAAAGGGGACCTGTTTGTTCTCCCTCCTCTGCTGCAGCAGGGGCCCCAGTAAAGCCTTACCTGAATTTCTTGTCTGGCCTCTGATCAATTTCTATTGATTGCGGAAGGCCAAGAGCCCTGGTCGGTAACAATAGGTGGAGCTTATTCAACCATGAACACCAGATGGTAAGAATCACTTGGGTAAATTAGGGTCTGTCCAACACCACGGGCAAAGAACAACTGGGGAGCTGAGGAATAAAACCCACAGCTCACATGGTGCTGGGAGATATTCAAGGTCTGATCAACCAGAGGAGAAGAATGTCACTGAACACTCATGCCATCCACTAGAGATCACAGAAGGGTCAAATTTTAGTGTTAAGGAGAAACTAATCTTAGAGTAAGGGCCACTCTAAACATTCATCCTAAAGATATGACAAGGCAGCATGAAATTGTCTATCTGATTCATAAGTAACTTAATTGCCTGCCAAAACAAAGTATAGCACATTTCAAAGGAAAACCACAAAATCAAGCAATCAACCAAATAAAATTAGCAAGGTTAATCCAATCAAAAACAATTATACACAGGGATATGAAATCAGTCTGATGGCAGGATACGAGCTTCCTGCCTTATCCTCCCACAGATACACCAAACATACACCTCACATGGATTGATGCCCTGTGAGAGAAATCCAGAAAGTAGCACAGTGACTCCTCAACACTGGGTGACTGAGAAAGTATCCACTGTGAAAATGGGTAGGAAAGGCTGATACACACACTCACCACAAAACCCACCCCTGGCAAAGTGCTTACAATCAGTAGGGAACCCCGAACTCTCAGTATGCCCCTCAGAACCAAAAGGTTTGGACCAGGCATCCAGCAGCACAACTTTTAAGGCTGCCACCCGAGGGACTGGCTTCCAAATAACTTAGTTCAGAGAGCCACTGGGACTTGACATCCCTAATTCCTCAGACCCCCATTAAACAGAGGCAGTTTTTAAATGTGTGCATGAGCACTTCCCATAGTTTCCCCCCACCCCGCCCCGGGGTGCATCATAGAGGGAGCAGACAAAAAGCACCCAGCTCCTATTTTCTCCCTGGAAGGAGTTTGACTGCACACTTTTCCAGCTGCAGCTCGAGGGTCCAGCTTCTAATCAGACTACATGTGGGTGCTGATAGGGATCCTCCCAGTAGCCTGAAAGGGCCGATGGGCATTTCCCTTGACGACTCCCCCAGGCTCAATCCAACAATAAAACCAAGTCTCCAGTTTCTTCCTGACAGGACCTTGTCTACACATCTAGAATCTCAACTTTTTTTTTAATTGAAGTATACTGATGTACAATATTATATGTTACAGGTACAATATAGTGATTCATAATTTTTAAAGGCTGTACTCCATTTCTACTTATTATAACATATTGGCTATAGAACCTCAACTTTTAACGCTGCCACCTGAAGGTTTGGATCCCATACCACCTAGCTCTGAGATCTGACGGGGCTCAGCATTCACAGACTCCCCAGATTCATCTTAAGAGAAGATTTTTATACAGAAGTGCAAGCACTTCCAAGGACCATCTCCCTGGGCTTAGGGCAGAGGGAACAGGAAAAAACACAAGGGTCCCAACTTCTCTGTGGAAAGGGTTTGAGTGCATACTTCCTCAGCTGCTGCTTGAGGGTTGAGCTTCTAAATAGCTTGCACCAGGGAGCTGACAGGGTACATAAATAGTAGTCATCTGGGGACTTGAACAGATGTGAGGGAATTCCCTGTGCTTTCTCTCTCTGACTCATCCCAACTATAAAGCTAATTCTCCAGCTTCTCCCTCAATGAAATTTGTCCACACATCTAGTGCCCCACCTTACACAGCTGCCACTAGAGGAACTGGCTACGAAGTCACCTAGTAATAGGAGCTCTCCTGGAGCAGAGAGAACAAAAGAGGTGAAAGAAGTAACATTATCTCTGCAGATGACATGATCTCATGTATAGAAAACTCTAAAGACTACGTCAAAAAGCTATCAGAATTAATAAATGAATTCAGTAAAGTTTTAAGACACAAGATCAAAATACAAAAATCAGTTGTGTTTCTATATACTGACAATGAACTACCAGAAAGAAAATTAAGGAAACAATACCATTTACAATAACATCAAAAGACAAAACATTTAAGAACACATTTAGCCAAGAAGGTGAAAAACGTATACAGTAAAAACTAAAAAACAATCATGAATAAAATTAGAGAAGACACAGATAAATATATATTCCGTGTTTATGGATTGAAAGGATTAATATTGTAAAATTTTCCATACTACCCGAAGTGATCTACAGATTCAGTGCAATCCCTATCAAAATGCCAATGTCATTTTCCACAGAAATAGAGAAAACAATCCTAAAATGTATATGGAACCACAAAAGAACCTTAATAGCTTAAACAATCTTGAAAAAGAAGAGCAAAGCCAGAGACATCACACCTTGTGATTTCAAACAATATTACAAGGCTGTAGTAATCAAACAGTATCTTACCAACATAAAAACAGACACGTAGATGAATGCACCATAACAACATAACTTTATACCTAAAGCAACTAGAAAAAGAAGAACAGAAACCCAAAATCAGTAGAAGGAAATAAATCATAAAGATCAGAGCAGAAATAAATGAAATAGAGACAAAAAAAAAACAATAGAAAGATCAATGAAACTAAAACTTGTTCTTTGAAAAGATAAGCAAAACTGATAAACATTTAGACAGACTCATCAAGAAAAAAGGGGAGAGGGCCCAAATCAATAAAATCAGAAATGAAAAAGGAGTTGTAACTGACACTACAGAAATACAAAGGACCATGAGAGTATTACAAACAACTATAAGCCAACAAAATGGACAACCTAGAAGAAATGGACAAATTCTTTGAAAGGTACAATCTCCCAAGACTGAACCAGGAAGAAATAGAAAATATGAACAGACCATTTACCAGTAGTGAACTCTACAGAGATTTCAAAACACTTCACGTCCTGCATCATTGTGATAACTGAAGTAAACAACTTGAAGCTTAAAGTGATCATGCAATGACAATATACATACAAACAGAAGTAAATCAGAAAAAAAAGAAAAGAAACTTTTATGCAAACAGTTTTTCAACAGAAAGTAGTTTATTTATAATGGAATCAGAGTCATAAATTAAAGTTTGGATTCCATGTCCTAAACTTATAACTTTGACTCCCTCAACTGAACATTTGTAATCCTCTTTCTCATATATATAAGAAAATATATGTAATATTTCAAAAGGTTAATGTGAGAATTAAATGAGACTAGTATATGAAAATACTTCTCTAAAGGAAATTATTTTATTGTGATTTTCAAGTACAATTTCACATTTAATTTTTATTACAGTGATTCAGCAGAAGAGAATCATGATAGGTTCCAATACTGTATGTCAAAATAGAGTTAATGGAGTCTTAATTTTTTTACTTACTCTTATTTCAAAAATTGTTCCTTCAAACTGAAAAATTTTCCCAGGGTTTCTATATATTGACCACACCACTTTAACCACATGAAAATCTAAACCCCTTTATTGTGACTTCTAGTTTTTAATCTAAAACATTATAATTATGCCAATTTGAAGTATATTAATCAAGAAAATATTCAAGATGGAGTGTCTTCAATTTAATCAGTTTTTAATAGCAGGTACGCATTTTTCAACTTTTTTTTCCAGTTAATATTTATTTACTGACAATGTTTTCATCATAATCAGGCAAATGTGACATTTTTATTTTTCCTTTTCTTTTTTTTCTTTGGCATTACTTCTAATAAGTCTGATGCTTCTGGGTCAAAACTTGCAGGTCTAAACCTTGCTCAAGACCATTTTCTCTGTCACTTTAACAGTGGCCATTAATAATTTTTTTCATAAATTTCATTGTCATGCTTATTTAATATTGATTTTTTTCTACGAGTATGATTCCTGAAAAGTGTTTACTATTTCTTGAAAATTGTGACCAAATAGGTCAGAAGAGCCTGAGAGATGAAGAGAAGGGCACAAGAGTTAGCAATGAAAATGTTGCTTTGCAAGTGAATACAAATCAGTAGGATCTGATTCAATTCAAAGGTAAAGAAAAATCGTCTTAAACTTTTAAATTATAAAACTAATATCCTTGATCATTCACCTGCTTCTCTGAATCTTCACTCTCATTCGACCTCATCTTCTGTGGAACTGTGACATACAGGAATATTCCCTCAGAATCTGTAGTAAGAAAATGGGATTTTTTGCAACAGTGCTCTCAGTCAAGCTTGGGTTCTTAAGTTTGAGTCCATGGTGGGGTCCACAATTGTAAGTCAATTTATCTACATGTGTTTACCCTCCTTCTTGGTCCACAGATTTCAATAGATTTTCAATGGCACACTGAAAATGGCTAAGATACAAACAAGTGAACAGAAATTAGCCATTGCAGTTCTATAGGACCATCCTGTTCGTTTCCATAACCGCATTGGGACCTGTTTCTCTCGGGTCTCTGAGGAATACATCCAGGGCAGTGCTGAACCTCGTATATCCTCTGACCACAGAGTGGGTGACCCAGAAGGACCCTCAGCTGCTGAGACACTGGACCCTTGAGGCAGAGAGTGGACTCCTTGGCTAACATCTTCCTTCCCCTACCCTGTTCAGGGGTGGGTGGCGTAGGGGTGGGGTGTGGGAGGAAAGCACCGGCAGGGAATCCGGGAAAGGGGCGGTAGGGGTCCCAGAGCTACAGGAATTGCTCCCCAGAAAGAGCCCAGCCCTGCTCAGAAGCCAAAGGAGGGAGAAGGAAGTCGAGGCTCCGCGGTCTTACCCTGGAGGGCGTGTAGCCCTCCAAGCTCAGCAAGCAGGGCAACGAGGAGGAACATCGCTGGGCGGGGCGCTGGAAGCACGGCCAAGGTCAGAGACCGTTGGGCAGCCGTGAGGCTCGCGGGCAGCAGCAGTCAGGGGTTCAGCGCGCTAGGCCCCCGGGCCCTGGGGGTGAGGACCAGGGCCTCGCAGTCGCTTTCAGCTGTGCTGGCTCATCCTTGGGCATCCTGAGTGACTGGGCACTCGAGGCTGGGAGAAGAAACAGCAGACAAAAGCCTAAGGGTCTGCGCACAACTAGTTTGTGGTGACTAAGTGTACGTCTTTTTTTTTTTTTTTTTTTTTTTACATCTCTATTGGAGTATAATTGCTTTACAGTGGTGTGTTAGTTTCTGCTTTATAACAAAGTGAATCAGTTATACATATGATCCCATATTTTAAATGCTTCAGTAGGGATAAAGGGGCAAATAAGCATTATTTGCTTTTCTGGGGAAGTTTCTGGTAATTTCCTTTCTCCATGTTATAGTTTTCTGACAACGTTTATTTACTGTGGTGGAAGAGAAAGAGGAAAATAGGTATATTTACTATTTTTTACAAGAAATTTTCTAGTTAAATTGTGTTACTGCTGACTTAATACAATCTTTGCAAACAAAAATAAAGAATATTGAACTTGATCCTGGATAAGGAAATAAAAAGCACAATTCTTCAACTGTGTGCCTATTCTTACAATGTTAGATTATAATCTGTTGAGGAAAGGGAAAGAAAACTTTGAAACGTACCCTAAGTGTGTCTTGTTAACAGTTACTGTTAGAACCGTAAAAAGGAAGCATTAGAAATGGGGAGGCCAGCAAGACAAACTCAGAGGGGAAAAGTGACACCACTGCAGAAGACAGAACATGTAATTGTCTTTGAATTTTCTGACAAATATCTTAAGCTACTCACGCTCAAAACCTAACTCAACTTCTGCCTGCCACTCACCCACACCTTCCTTTATCCCAGTACACTCCACAGCAAGGATGTGTTACACCAATAGTTGCAAAAATAAACTCTGCTCAGGTCTAAAACTTGGACCTGCTAGGTGG